AGTCACAGTGCAAAACTGAGAGTCACAGTGCAAAACTGAGAGTCATAGTGCAAAACTGAGAGTCAGCAGCGCAAAACTGAGAGTCAGCAGCGCAAAACTGAGAGTCACAGTGCAAAACACAGAGTCACAGTGCAAAACACAGAGTCACAGTGCAAAACTGAGAGTCACAGTGCAAAACACAGAGTCACAGTACAAAACTCAAGTAGCACTACGAACTATTTACATAACGTTCATAGTGCACGTGGAGAGTGAGGTACGTCCCCCTTCGTCTTACATGCTCATATAGCCTGCCTATGTAGACATTTAGTACATTTTATGTCATCTATAACTTAAACATGAATGAGAAAATAGAAGCTTTAGTAGATATTGGTTACACTAACCAAGAAATGGCCCAAGAAATGGATGTAAGTGTGGGTACAATAAAAAAAAAAAAACCTCCGGAAGAAATTAGGATTGAGGAAGTGTGATCTTTCAAATGCCATTAGCGGTAAGTAATTATTCCTAAATTCCAGAGTCTCTATTTTGGATAGTAATATTAAGTATTTAAATTGTAAATAGTGTTATCATTAGGCCTATACACAGGCCCGTATCCAGCTTTTTGAATGGGGGTGGGGGTGCGTTTTGCGAGCGCAGCGAGCAACCAGGCTGGGGGCCAGGGGGCCGCCAAGGGCCACCGGTCGGGGTCCAATTGCGGAAGGCCCGGGAAAAATTTGCTTTCTTACGTCCTAGTAGACTAATTTGAAGGCATTTTATCATGTTAATCCGTGAAAACAGCGATAGGGCTATCAAAAAATTACCAGTGGAGGACAAGGAGAAACAAGCAAATTGTTTCCCAAATGAAAAATACTACTGTATAAATTCCTAACCATTACGAATAAAAATTCAAAATCAATTCTGCTTTTAAATGAATAAGCAAAGTTTGATATAAAGAGTGGATTAAAAGCGACTGTAAATGAGCTGATTCAAACAACTAGAAGCATTTGAAACAAATTAATCAACATTTTTATTCTTGGCATCGACAAAAATCATATACAGATGTATAAGCATACTTATACTGTATGTATACGCTATCTATCCATTGAACCCGTGACGGATCATTATGATACGAGTAACGTTGTACGTTGTAATAGCAACATCACTTACATTTTTTTTATAAGAGCACATTTTATAAGAAGGATGAGGCTGTCGAAATTTCGGAAAAATTAAGAACAAAATAAGAATAAATTAAGGCTAAGTTAAAATGCCACAAGTGAGGTTTTTATTAATTTTTTTGTTTATAATTAGTGGACGTTTTTTGATTGGGGGGGGGGGTTGCGTACGCACCCAACGCACCCCCCTGGATACGGGCCTGTATACAGCATATATTAAATGTCAACCATAGAAATTTGATTACTATAGTTGTTATTAAACGAATAATCAACCGAGAATCGGGCAATTCCAAAATAGACCAGAAATAAATATAACGAAAAACATATTCAAAAATAATCGAATGTCAATCAGCACAGGCCTCGGAGTGAGGTACGTCCCCGTAGCGTAAACTGTAATGACATTGAATTATGTTATTATTAATTGTGTTATGCTATCATCGTTCGTTCCAATCATTATGTATAAACAATAATATTATTGTGGCTTATATTCCACTCAGGGAGGACCTCCTGGTCCAGAATTTCTCAAACGGTGTAAGGGGAGGGGAGGGGGAGGGGGCATAACAGTTTTAGAATAGATAAGTGAGTAGCACATAACATTGAAGTGCATTGAAATTTTATACAAATTAGTGACAAAACGGGGAAGTGGTGCATGCCCCTAATATCCGTCCCTGACATGTAATCTTATTTTTCATTACCATAAAATATTAATATTTATAAAATATGTCTATCACGGTAACAAATCCAGAGTATGGAGAGAAGATGATTGGGGGAGATCTGGAATCGCAAGGTATTCATGTTACTAGAGCAAGACTTAGAGAAGCTATGAGAAGAGTTGATCCCTTAGGTACAGTAAATGTAACTTCAAATTAAAATTATTATACTTTCTATACTATTAATGTAGTACAGAAATTTATCAGATGACCATATTATCTGTATCAGAAAGCTCCTTAATACACTGCATTTCTAGCCTTGCAATTTTTGAATTTGTTAATTATATTATACGGATACAAATATTTTTGTTTTTGTTTGGAATATAAATATGTTGTTAACTTTAAATAGGAATCCAAAGAAGAAAAACAAAAACAATACACCGGAGGCGGTACTACGCCGAAGGTCCTAACTCAATGTGGCATATCGATGGCCATCATAAATTAATCAGGTGGTAAGTAATTTGGACTATAGTTAATAGTAATGATAATAGTGATGTACTATTTATTATTATAACGATTCGTCCTTACAAAATATTAAAATTTAATTAAGTCAGGGCAAAGACTATGATTATAATATTCATTTTGAACATACAGTATTAGTGTATTATTACCTAACAATAGTGCATTTCAAAATTACAAGAACATAATGCTTATGCTTACAGCCAGTTGTTTTGGTAAACAGATAATCTGACCAAAAGAATTTACAAATTTCGTTTGCCATTCATCTTCCAACCTACCAACCTGTTTATCAGTGAAGATATCACAATTAATTGAACTTCGGTGTAAAAGGCTATTTCCATCCCAGTATTTTATTTGGTACTGATATGATGAATAATTATTAATAATTGATGTAGCCTATAGGTTTGTATTAGCCCGGTATACAGTAAGACACATGTCCAAAATTGGACCAAATTAAATTTAGTAAACTCAAATCCCCATTCCAATCATCTCTAGTCATTAATGCTTGAGAAACACAGAAAGTAGTTAAATACTGTATTTTAACATAGATGGCGTATGGTGACCCATGGCGGTATCGATGGATATAGTCGTTTGCCGGTATATTTAAAATGCTCTACAAATAATAAGGCTCAGACCGTTGCAGAGTCATTCACCCAAGCCATGCACCAGTATGGAATTCCCAAGAAAGTATGTGCCGATATGGGTGGAGAGAATGTAATAGTAGCAAATATCATGATGCAACATCCTCAAAGGGGTGTTGGCACATTTATTACAGGTCGGAGTGTGCACAACCAAAGGATTGAGAGGTTCTGGAGAGATGTGCATACAGTAAGTATAATGCTCTCAGTTGCCACTGCCCTTGTTAAACCATGGAGGAAGTAGTTAAATTCAGCCTGCCATATCGTGCAAAAATGCGCCTTATAAAAGGGACACTTATTAAAAATGGGCACTTTTGAAATTACTGTTCATTTAAAGGGCATTTATTTGGATAATAGTGCTAAGCATGTATGGGAATAGTGAACCGTATTTTTAATTAAAAAAATGTCATGTAATTTAAATAATACATACAGCATAAATAGGCCTAAATAATTACGTTGAAATGTAACGAGTTTGATTAGTTACGTTATCTGTATTGTCAATATACTGACATACTTAATTACTACATTACTTATCCTAATAATAATACAATTTGGTTTTTAGGGTTGCACTTCAACATTTTACAACCTATTCTATAAAATGGAGGATTTAGGTTTACTGAACACTGATTGCGAAAAAGATATGTTTGCGTTGCAGTATACCTTTTTGCCGATTATCAACAACGGACTAGAAAAGTTCAGGCACAGTTTTTCTCGACATAAATTGCGAACTGAAAAGAACAGGTCACCAATGCAGTTGTGGCGTAGTGCTTTCAATGATATCGAATGGTTTGTGGAGGTGAGATCCTATCAAAATTTTGTAAATGTCTTAATAAGTATATAAATGCATAAAGAATGTTTTCATTATACTCTATAAAGTAGCGGTATGGTACTGAGGCTGAAATTGCTTATAAATTAAGAAAAAATAAGAACAAATTGAGGCTGAGTTAAAACGTCAAATGAGATGTTTATTTTCTAAAAATAAAAAAAAAGAATGAGTCTGAAATTGCCAAAGAATAAAAACACTGAGCCTGGGCAAAATTTTAACTGGTTGTTATAAAAAAAAGTGTACTCTGTTTATAAATTTTAATGTGAAAAAAACTAATTCAATGAACAAATAAATCTAACTTCTGTACATTCTGGAGTGTTTATTTAACTTTATTCTATGTTATAATCATTATTGATTTCAACTGTTGTTACTTCGTTGCTTTAACATAGAATGATTTGCCTGAAAACTTGAGACATCAGGAAAACGAATTAAATGTAGACAGAATCCTGGTTCCCAATGAACTTGACTTGACCAATGTACAACTTGAGAGGATTGCTGATGATTTTCCATATGCAGTCAGAGAATTGGCAAGTGAAGAGGAACAGATAACATATTTCTCATCACTGAAAGAGTTTCTGAACACGATGTAATCATCGGAAAGTATAATAGGGCCTGCATACGGTACTCTTATCAATGGACCTTTCGGTATTTAATTGTAGGTTTCCAAAATTTCACTGATTGTTGTAAATTTCTAGGAAATTCAAATGCTACGATTAATAACACATGCATTAGGTTCTATTGTACATAGACTTTGATGGATGTTAATATTGTTGTTTTGTTTGGTTTTTTTTCAAAAAACAAACTACACGTACTAATGCACAGCTTTATATTAGTAAATTGAAGACATAGGTCTATTCTTTATGTAAAACAAATTTAAACGTGATACAGTGGGTCTTTATTTTACTTTTAATTTTTAACCTTAACCTTAAGAGTTTAGCAGAGCTTCTTGCATTAACCGTTGAAACTCATCCAGTTCCTCGATTCCCCGTGGCAAATGCATTTGCAAAAAAAAGCATTTTGAGGGGGCTGGGTATCCTTTTGAATGTGGTTCTTTTGAGAAAAAGTACAAAAAGACTTCCCTAAAAATCCATGAGTGGGATCTCATTCGCGCCTGTTACAAAGGCGAGAAAACCAAGATTGGTTCTGGTCGTACCATCTATTCGAGAAAAGTAAAATGAAAAGGGTTACATGTACAGTCTGTCTGATTTTGGCAATTTATAAACCTACTAAAACCAAACAATGTGCAAGTAATTTTAAGTTAAGAGAACAAATGTACCGGAAGTTTTCAGACATAAGAATTATAATAGTTGTGTGATAACCGAAAAACTAACAGCTAAATTTATTATTTATTTAGCACTTACGTTATATTATTATTGTAATAGTGTCATTCCTTTTATTTTTATACAGTAATCGAATTTGGTAATGCTTTTGAGTGCTTTTCACAAACATGGCATGTATACTGTATATTTTAGGAAAAAATAAGATACGATATTAGCTTACTGTACTGTAACATGGTCTTGCTGGTTATACACATATCAGGGAGTGTCCAGTACACTGCCCCCCCCCCCCCCATGGCAAAAGGGCATAACTGACATTTTTGGCGAAAATGAGTTATATAGCCTAGTGGGGTCAGTACATCAT